AAAAGTTATCCCTTGTGGGAGTTCAGGGGGATTAAAAATCAGCTTTCACTTTGCTTTTTCAAACCCAAGAACATTGTTAGTAACATTGCTGGTAACTTTCTTGGGCTAGTGTGGAAACTTATCACTCATTGAGAGAAAATAATTTTAAATATGAAGAATACACAATTGAAAGATTAACCTCCATTTCAGGAGAATTATACTTTTCTTGATTTCTGCCTACTTTATTTCATGAGTGTTTGATAAATTCAATTTTACTTTTCAGGTAAAAAGAGTGGACCCATTTTAATTGGAAACATTTTGATTTCTTGTTCATAAGACGATTCAGAGAAAGTTTTGTTTTCATAGGAAAGCTAAGGCTATATCTTTGGCTCCATTATTTCTGGTAATCTTCTAATATGCACTTACATCCAAAAGCATGCGGAAAGAAGGGCTTTTAAAGTTTAAGGCATACATTTTTGAAAAACTAAGCATGGCAAGAGAAACAAAATTTTTTGTGTGTGAACAGTTATTTTGATTTTCAAATTGCAAATGTTATTGAAAACTAATTTAGAAATCTTCCTTTCCTTTCCTTTTCTTTCCTGCCTGTGTTTTTTGAGATGATGCATTGGCTCAGGTACTTGGCATGAATATAAACAACATAAGGACAACCAAAAGGAAATTAATCCATCACAGTTCTAATTTCAATTTGCCTATTTTTATCATTCACATTTTTTACCATCTGGAAATTTTTCCATCACTAGCTAAAAATATGATATTCCTTTTCAAATACTTTGGAGTTTTAAAGACAGACACAATTAAATTTTATTATCATCATGTATGGCATTATTTAGTATGATTAGAGGAATCTGTTAATTTTAATGACGCTTTACATGAATACATAAAATCACCACATACATATATGTATGTGTCAAGATTGATATTTAAATTTATGTGAAATCAAAAAGTCAGGAAAATAGATTATATATAAATATCAAGATACTGGCTTGAGTTATATTCATTTTGCATAAATGTCCTTGCAAAAATTTTAAAAAATCAATTTCATATAATATTTTTTATCATGACATATTAAGGAAATTATAGTTATGAATATACATGTAGTTTTAAAACCTGACCTAAGAGATTCAAACTAATATTTTAAAAATGGTAAGAAAAATTTAATCACATGATTAATTTTAACTAACTAGGTGTTTGAGCTTAACATTTTTATTTGAAACACAGGTAAGCCAATAGCCATAGAAGTATTTGAATTGTCTGCATGCTTTTGTGAAAAATGTATACTGTTGTGAGTGTATATGTGTGTGTTTGGTGTGTATATATATATATATGGTATGTATTTTATAATTTTATTCAGATATTAAGTTGGTATTGACTCTAGCACTATTAGAGTCTTGGATTTGGGGAGAATCTCTCTTTTTTATAACAATAAGTCTTATGTCACTCTGCCACTTTAAAGAATTTTTATGCAATGAATTGCTTTCATACACCAGAAAAGTAAACGGTGTCATAATTTACTAGCTTGTCTATGCAGATGTGCCCATGTCATCCATTAGTGAGGCAAAGAGTAATTTCTTAATTTAGAAAGAGCATCTCTCTTTCTCTCCCTCTGTCTCTCTGGTCTTTCTCATATTTATCTCTAAGATATTTGTTTCTTCTCATTATCAGTGTAAATGCTAAATACTTCATGCTAATAAAAAGAAATGTTATTTTACAGAGTAGTTTTCCTCACTGCCCTCCTTTGTTTTTCTCAACTTTTATATATGTTTTCTTTGCTATCTCCTTAAGTTTTTTTGTTTTTAGGAAGGTTAGCTCTGAACTAACTGCTGCCAATCCTCCTCTTTTTGCTGAGGAAGACTGGCCCTGAACTAACATCCATGCCCATCTTCCTCTACTTTATATGTGGGACGCCTGCCACAGCATGGCTTTTGCCAAGCGGTGCCATGTTGGCACCTGGGATCCGAACTGGCGAACCCTGGGCCAGCGAGAAGCAGAATGTGTGAAACTTAACTGCTGTGCCATCGAGCGGGTCTCCCTAAATATTTTTGATAGGTTAGGAGCAAACTCTTTCTGCATGTGTGTGATGTGCTATTTTCTGATCCCATAAATATTTTCCCTTGTTAGTTTCCGTTGCTGCTTCTATCCTTTATATTTCCACTGTATGTTGGTATTTTGGTGTGTTTTTCTTAATGTATAACATAACCTTTTGGAAAAGAGTTGTATACATTTGTTATAATATGTGTTTATACTTTATAATATTGTTAGGTCTTCTAAAGATTGAGTGATGATGATGATGCTAATAATAACATAATTCCAATTAAAGTAAAAAAGCCACAATCTTTAATAAGCAACAAAGTATCAAGGTTATGCTATTTTTAATTAAAGTTTAAGTAATGTTTATTTTTAATTAAAAATGGCACACCATAATTATATACAAATGTGGATTATGAAGATCAATTTCATGATGATATTAAAATAGCCTTGAAAAACAAGACAGTTTTTTGATATATGTAAAGTGTAAGCCATAGAGAGTGCGTACATGTGTGTATTGATATATGTAGTTGGATAGCTACGTGTGTATATATGTGGTATATTCATGTGGATATAAGTGTATTAATTGCCTTAAATTCTATTCCCTTCATTAAAGAGTCAAATCAGCTTTTTTAAGCATACTATTTTTATAAGTATTTCTCACTATGTCCTTTGTTCAGTGATCAATGTATCCCCAAACTGCAACATACCTCATTAAGTAAATCTACTAGTGCTTAAATTTTTCACATTAATTTTCTAATAATAGGTTTCTTTTCAAGTGCTTTTCTACATCAGAATTCTGTAAACAGGAACAGGCTTACCATGTAGTTCTTTACAAGAAACGCTTTAAAAGCACTGCAATATATTGTCTGTTTCCATAAAGCTCACAATGGGAATGAAACGCCTGAGGCAAAACACGTCTTCTGTGCCTTCAAAAGTGAAACATCAAAGAAAGGCATCATTTGTGTATAAATATACGAAAGTGCTCATAAATAAAATCTTTATTCATTGAGATAAAAATGAAAAAGCATTCTTAAAGGTTTCTTTCAGAAGCAGTATCCTAAAATCACAATACATGGACTATGGATATAAAATAGTTGACAATGCTGTCCTGTGATCTTTGTGTATTCAAAATCCTTGGAGCTTATTTGGTGAATAGTAGAAAAAGAAGAAACTTCTGCACATATGACATTTTATACTCTACATTTTAGTTATGATCAAAGGTAGCACTTTTTTGTTAAATGTTAAAATTAGATGCATCAATTTGGTGAGTTTATGAAAATAATGTAATTTCTATAGAATATATAAGAAAAGAAAAACTACAGATGAGATAACATATCTGAAGAACGTTACTGTACAATAGAAATGAAAAGGCTCTGAGTGATGAAATATCTAATAACTGCCCCTGTGGAGATATGTAGCATGAAATAGACTCAGCACACTGACCTGCATGACCATGAGTGATAAAATGATTATTGTTTGAAGTCCTTGAGTTTTGAGTTAGTTTGTTATGTAGCACTATTGTGGCAATTGTTAGCTGAAACAGAAATATGGGGTTACAGGAATGAAAAAATGGATACCACTCCCCACCGACATGTCTTAGTAAACAACATAACTGTGTATAACAAATAGCTTGGTTAGATATTGCTAAGTGTCATGGAGAAAAATTAAGCAGAGAAGAGGAATGGGGAGTGTTGGAGATGGAATTTTAAATATAGTAGTCAGGAAAGCCTCACTGAGAAGGGGATTGTAGCAGGTCAGTTTCCCCAAAAAGCAAATTCTGAGAAAGAGATTTATAGGTAGGGTCAATTACCCCTTTCATGATGGTAAGTGAGTGGTAGCTCTAGTTTAAAATGCAACGATGTGTTTGCTGTGGAAGTGTTCTCCTCTTTCAGCTATCCAAGACTTCCAAACTTGCAGAACCAAAAGTCACATCAACAGGAAGTACAAACTCTCCAAAACGGGCCATTTAGGATGCTGTTAAATGAGACCACGCCCAGTGTCTCCTCTTGGTTCACAGACTCATACACCAATTAGTGACATAGTGTTAGTGGGTCAACATGCTTTCTGTTGGCTGAAACTCTGTGAATAGGGAAGGCAAAAATATATGTCAATTCCAGTTAATATGAATTGGTGCCCCTTCCAGGGTTGAAGGGTTCAATGTAGTCAATTTTCCACCAAGCAGCTCTTTGGAATTTGCAATGCTTGATGTCATATTGGGGGCTCAGCTTTGATCTCTTTTGCTGGCATGTTGGACATTTGGCATCAGCAGTAGCTAAATCAGCCTTGGTGAATCAGAGCCCATACTAACAGATCCATGCCTAGCCTCCATCCTGGCCACCGTGGCTACTCTGTTGATGTATCCATTTGCCAATACTCCATATCTGATGATAGTGGCCAACTACAGACAACTAGTTGAGTTACTCTCTCTACTTGATTGTTGAAGCAAGTTTCTTCTGGGTTCAAAATTTCCTGGGGGATGTTAACATACAATTCAAAGATCTTCTCACTGGTGTCCACTCCCATAAAACCATCCATATGCCTCTTGCCTAGACCTTCTTAGCCTCAATATTCAAATATTTCTGCTTCTGGGTCCTTGACCAATCAGCTAAGCCATTCATCAATTGCTCATATACCTTTATACATTCTAACACTGGGATACCTCACACAATATAGATGAGCAAATATAGTGCCCAAAGCTCTTCCCATTGGGAAGACTTCTCCTCATCAATATACTTCAGGGGTCTAGAAGTGGGGCTGTAATATAGCTGTAGCCCATTTTCAGAATGCACACACATCCCAAGCTGACCTTTTCACAAAACAAACTCAGATTTTTCCACTTCTGACAGCTGGTCATAACAGACCCCTACTCACGAGGTTGTAGGTCTTGCCTAAGGGAGCAGTGCTGGTACAACCACGATAGATTAAATGGACCATGACATACCATAGCTTACTTCTACTCATGTTTTTCTCAGGCTTGATCATGGATGTACCATACTCCAACTTATGATGAATTGCTCCTGGACATGCCCAGCTTTATGACTTGGTGAGTCTGTCGGATCCCAGCTCTTATTGGACAGTTCATGTGTAGCATCACTTGGTGCCTATGGTTAAGTGTTCTATCGGGTCCCAGTAGCACAATAGGAGCTGTTTCTTAAAAGGTATATAATTCTCTCTGGAAGATGGTATGTATTTTTCTCCAGTTTTATTGAGAAATAATTGACATATGTCAGTGTATAAGTTTAATGTGTATAATATGATGGGTTGATTTACATAATTGGTGAAATAGTTGCCACAATAGGTCCAGCTAACACCCATCTTCTCAAATAGATACAATGAAGAGAAAGAAAAACAGAAAAAAGGAAAAAATTTTCTCCTTGTGATGAGAACTCATAAAAAAATTACTCTCAGCTTTCCTGTGTATCATACAGCAGTGTGAGGTATAGTCATCATGTTGTACATTACAGCCCTAGTACTTATTTATCTTATAACTGGAAGTTTGTGCCTTTTGACCACCTTCCTTCAATTTCCCCTCCCCCCACCCTCCACTTCTGGTAACCACAAGTCTGATCTCTTTTTCTACAAGTTTGTTTGTTTGTTTATTTTTAGATCCCACATATATAAGTGAGATCACACAGTGTTGGTCTTTCTCTGGTTTATTTCACTTAGCGTAATACCTTCAAGGCCCATCCATGATGTTGCAAATGGTAGGATTACTTCTTGTTTTATGTCTGAATAATATTCCACCGTATATATATCACAACTTTATCCATTCAGCCATTAATGGACACTTATGCTGTTTCCATGTCTTGGTTATTGTAAATAATGCTGCTATGATCATGGGGGTGCAAAGTAGTTTTCAAGTTACTGTTTCCATTTCCTTTGAATATATTCCCAGAAATGGAATTGCTGCATCTTACGGTAGCTCTATTTTTAATTTTTTGAGGATCCTCCATATTGTTTTCCATAGTGGCTGTGCCAATTTACAATCTGAGAAGTCGGCATAATTTTTCTCCAGAACCCAAAAGCTTGAGTTATGATTCTCCCATAAACTCCATTCTTTCTATCTTTTTTTCACCATTAACACCTCCAACACCAAGAGACGCCAGGACAATGAGTCAAACGACAGGTCTCCTTATACTATAGCCTTGACTTGCTGCACAGCCCTTTCTTACTCTGGGCACCACTCAAGGTTGGCAGCTTTCCAAGTGACTCAGCACAAGGGCCAAAGCATTATTCCCTCTGCCTTCAGATCCTAAAGAGGCTTATCTAGTGTTGGCTTCCTTTTTTGGATTGCAAGGTGCAACAATTTGTCTTTTATTTCATATTCGATGTCTGTCAGGTCTCTGACCACTAGAACCCTAAAAATTTTAGTGAAGTGGCAGAAACCTGAATCTTCATGGGGTTTTCTTCCAGTCTTTAGATCACATGTGTCTTACCAAAGCCTCTCATATATTTGTTGCTTCTTGCTTAACTGATCCAATTAATGTGATATTATCAATATCATGAGCCAATGTGATATTTTTTAGTATATTTGGCTCGCACAGATCCCTTTGGAGTATATTATGACAGAGTGGAAGAGTTAACATTGTTTCGGGACAAGATTGTCAAAATCTACTCTCTTCTGTCTCAGGTGACTTGCAACTGTTTCTGATCCTCTTTTCTATAGGGATAGAAAAGAATACATTCTCCAGATGAATGGCCACATACCAAGTACCTGAAACACTGTTATCTGCTCCAGCAAAGAGAACTCCTCTGGCACAACACTGCAATTGGGGCCACCTACAAAGAGTTGACAGTGGTCCATTGTCATCCTCCAGGATCTGGCAATATGAGACCCCTGCCTGGTGGTGACTCACGCATTGGGCTGCAGGAAGCTTGTTTCAGGTATTGGGCAGGAGGCAATATCTGTGTTATCCTTCTGCCCAGTGCTCTCATTGCTAAAAACCACAGCACAGGCTGTGTTAACAACACTCACTTTTTCTTTGCGCTCCTCCTTTCACAAGCAGGGGGAATCCTTGGAAGCCAGTGGCTCTAAGTAGATCACCAAGATTGCCTTCCCTGTTTGATGCGGACCGCTTTAGTCTTTGCCCCACAGCAGCCAAAACTAGAGCAATGCTGTCTGCTCTAAGCTCTCTGGTTCAGCAGGCATTTGTCTTCAGCCAAATCGTTGCTTGGGTTTCTGTCTTATTTCCTCCCCACGAAGATGTTTATTGTATTTTTAAGAGGCTATGTCGTTTTAAAAATTATTATTTTCTATCAATGCTAAATGTTTGGGGAAAAGAAGGTGTGTCCAGTTGTGAACATACAGATTCATCTTAACTAGATATCTCCAGATACTGTTTTCATGTTCATATCATTATTCCTATCACATTCTAAAATCAATGTCTTAAATGGAGCGACTTTTATATAATTCTTTTTCCTCCCATGAATGTGTTCCTTTGGGTTCTTGTTCACACCTCATTTATTATTGCTACCCCCATCCCAAAAGTAATATGAGTCTTCATGTTTTGAATGTGTGAAGCCAAAAGCGTTTTTAATGAACGAAGTTTTGGTATACAGGTTTTACACTGTTTTCATGGATTCATGTAATTAAAATCTAAAGCCACTGATTTGTAGGTTCTTTAAATATTCTCTAGCTTCTTAATTGTTGGCAAAGAGGAAGATGTAAGCTTGCAGGGATCATAACTTCTGGGGAAATTGGAATCTGGCTATATTTGTATAGGACATATTCCTAATTATGTCTGTAGTGAGGATCTCTGCTTATTGTTTTCCCCTAATTTATACTCTCTCTTTCAAATTTCCCACCTATTCTTTTTTTCATGACACTCAGCTAAAGTAATTTTTCAGATGAAATCTAACATGAAAGAAATGTGTTTTAGTTTTGACCTAAAGAGTTAAGAGAAGTTGGGAGATACTAAAAAGTTTTTTATATCTGAGAACGAGTCTTTGATCAGATGTTCTGAGGGTGTATAGCTAATTGTGAGTGCCCAGTGTCTATTGCTGGAGGTTGCTTTTCAAAAATTATTAGAAACATTTATTTTTAAATTGCATATCAGCCTCACAAAACCCGTGATGGTGTCTCCAGTGTTTAAAAGGCATTGAACGACAGCAGATCACAATGGTTATTGTACTGAAATACATGTATTTATTAAAAATGGGTAAATAATATATACAAACACACCAATTTGTTTTTCCAGAACCTAAAAATGATTTCATCTTCGATTCACATAAAGCGTTTAACAAATGTTTCTCCTTCAGGAAAATGAGCAGCAATATGTACATGGATGGAGCCTGCCCTCAATGGGGAAATTAGATTGTTCCCACTTCTGAGGTCTAACGTTTAAAGTACAGTTTTCAGGGTTATCACCCATTGGTTGTTTTTTCCTCAGAGACAAACACTATCTCCAATGATTGTGCTTCTCTGAAAGCAAAACCGGTTTATATCAGGAGTGTGCCAATAACTGGCAAGAGTAGGTCAAATACAACCTTAAAAAAAGAGGTGAATTTGATGATTCTTTTTGTTTATTTAAAGAGTAATTAATCATTTTCCCTTATTTTCACTCTTGCCTAATCTTGATCTCCTGATTTTATGTAAATTACCTCCAAGTTTTCTAAAGCAGAGTGGCCTTTTCTGGCTTGGGCAGAAACAGCCAGCTGAGTGCCTGGCCATACTAGAAGTTTAATAAGTGGTTGCTGGTATGCTCCCTTTTGCCTCTCCTTTTTCTGAGCAGCACCTTCGGTGTCATTCCTTCTCTGTGGTACATCAACATTGAAATGGATTCAGAAATAGCTTTGCAGGAAATTTTTGAGGGGAAAAAAATTCTTAGTATGGTGATCAGGCAGAAGCCTGTAATAGATTTGGCTAGAGGCTGAGTTAACTATAAGAGAATTACATAAAAAATTAGTGTTTCTTTTGAAGCACATTTTTATCCTAAGACATCAAAAGCCTTTCTTTGTCATTTTTTCCAAGATCACAGTTGAATTCTCCTCATCTATAGTTGAATTATACTCAGCAGAGAATGCTGAACCAAACTGCGGAAAGTCGGTGTAGGCGCTCTTGATGGTGGAAATAGAGTAAGTTCTGAAGCAATAAACTGATGTAGATTTATTCTCAATTTATGGTCGTTGATTTTTTTAGAAGAAAAGATAAGAAGACAGTGCGTATAAGTTTGTAAAGTTGTATTTAACCAATATTTTCATGATGGAAATTACAGGTTTTGTTGTCTGAAACTTAAATGTAATAATGGGAAGTAATTTTTATTATGGGATTTTCATTTCTTTTTTTCTTTTGAGGAAGATTAGCCCTGAGCTAACATCTCCTGCTGATCCTCCTCTTTTTGCTGAGGAAGATTGGCCCTGAGCTAACATTCATGCCCATCTTCCTCTGTTTTATATGTGGGATGCTGCCACATATAAAACAGTAAGTAGGTCCATGCCTGGGATCCAAACCGTCAAACCCAGGCTGCGAAGTGGTGTGTGCGAACTTAACTGCTGCCCACCAAGCCGGACCCTTGTTTTATTTTTTAATTTAAATAATTACTGGAAAATAAATTAGTTGAAAGTTATCAGGCGAGAAGCCATTAAAAAACGGATATTTGAGCTTACTTGCGAGCAAGGCAAATAATTTGATCTTGATGTATATGTGCCATCTTAAGATATGTATGCAAAATTTTACAGAATTTAAATTTGCTAATAAAGTCTTTAAACGGCAGATAGCCATGAAAGAAAAGTCAGTGAATTAGTGTATATCTTGCTTTCATTTTAACTGCTATTAAAATTATTTAAACATTCTTAAGGTTCTTAATTTTAAAATGTTGATATTATTACTAATGATCAGCTCGCTGTTGTGTCTCTGTGTGCATTGCAATATTTGGGCTATAGGAAAATAGATCAAAACATGTAGAAAAATTTGAAGGGTCTTGTACCTTTCAATATTACTTGGAAATTTTCATAAGTATGTCACATAGTTCACTTTTTTTTTTAGAGGGAAAGAGCGATAACTGATTTTCCACATTCCTAGGAATTAGAGGCATTTAATGGGTCCCCATAATAATCTGATCACTGAAGCTCTCCTTTCTAAGGGGATACTTCAGGTGTGACGGGCTGCCACCACTTCAGGCTGCTGGACTCTGTTCTCTAGTAGTGATGACACGGTGTGTGGGTGTGTGTGCTAAGCACAGAGGAGTTCCTCCTTGTGAAGCATCTCCTGCACGTCTGCTCTTCACCACCGACCTTGCTCGGGTTCCTGCCTGACACTGCCTTCCAGGGACATGCCATGGCTTAACCCAGGCTTTTGCTGTCCCTGAAGAAAAATCGCTGTCCTGACATTTGAGCAATCTGTGAGGATTTGGTCCTTGTGAATAAGTTTTTCTCCAAGGGTTGCTCTTAATCCTCACACTGTTTAAGTGTTGCAAAGTTTTCTTGAAACCTGAAAATGTGCTTAGAACAATGACATATATATATATATATGAGATGTTATATAAGTGCTAGCTTCAAAATGTTAGCTATTAGTAGTTTCTTTCCCACATATAAAGAAAATTAAGGCTGTGAAATGTCAATGACAAATTTCAGGATCTGCAATGGGAAATTGGTTATAAGTGAAATAATCATGTTGAAGCTGGCTAGACTCTCATGCCACTGTGCCATATATTTTAACTTTATTACCTTAATATGCATTTCTGAAAAGTTCACTGTGACTAACTTACCTTATTTCTATTTGTTTCTTCACTGTTTCCTTTCAGTCTCTTAAATGTTTAATTTATACTTAATTATTGATATTCTGTTTTACAGATGAGGAAATTGGGGCACAGAGAGACAAAATTTCTTGCTCAGGGTCATATAGCTGATAAGTGGAGGAGCCAGGAGTTTTATCCTAGCTGCAACTCCAGACCCTACTCTTAACTGTTGTGATCCCCTGCCCTGCCTTAGCCTGAAATTTCATAGCACATTCTATATAGATTCATTCCTTCATTGATTTCTCAGTTAGCTCATAGTCACCGAGCATTTACAATGTGTCATGCTCTATCACGGGTGGGAAGGAGAAGTTGCCAATAAGGAGAAAATGGTCCTTAAGTGACTTTTTCCACATATGACTGCATAGGATATGTTAAATTCTCAGTATTGTTTACAAGTCACACCCAAAAGAAAGAAATAGTTGAGATAAAGGACACAGCTATAACTCAGAGACAGAAGCCGTCTGCATAGGCCCGTGAAAGGAGCCTCTAGTTGTCCTAGCCAAACCCTTCAGGACTCGCATTTCCAACTGAAATTTCTCCTGCTGCATTTTGAGCCCACTTCATGTACCCTGTCCTTAGGTAGAGATGAGTATAGTTGTCAACCATTCCCTGTGTTGGACAGTTTGTATATTTGAAAATTATTGTGATATACTCTAATTTCTAATTTGCAGGTTGATTAAACTCAGTTACTTTGCCTTTTCCCATACATTTTATTTCCCAACTCCTAAAATATATTTTAACAAAGGATTACTGGTTAATATTTTTGGGGAAATACAATTTCAGTCTGCTATAATATTTCTCTTTTAAAGTCAATTGCTCACATTAGGATATATATTTAAAATATGATTTTTGAAATTCATTTTAATGTTGGAATTTTTCTATATTTCTTCTCTTTTTAGTATATAAAAGGAGGGAAATACTAATATATAGTATTTGGAGAAGCACATTAGTATCTAGTATATAGGAGGAGGGGTTATTTCATAAACAGAAAAGTGAATGGATAGATAGCTATAATACTGTAGTTTTAAAGAAGCAGAACATTGTTACATGGTATATTGATGTATCTGTTTTCTTCTTGTTCAGTGTCAGGGAAAAGTCATTGACATTGTAACTGTCAAGGTCTCAGCTGTAGCTCTCATGTCTTGCCATCATGTTTCAGAAAAATAATCATACTTATTTAAATGTCCAACCCAAGCACCTTACTGTTACCTTATCTTTGCATATAAAAATCATAGCAAATCAAAATAACAAATGCCTCATAAGGAAAATTAATATTCTTTTGTATATTTATAAGAATCATTTACTTCAGGAACAAGAAACATTTTCTTTTCTGGAATGCATATGACAATTATATTTCATCCTATATATTAATCAAATAGCCCATTTTAATGTAAATGCAGAGCCAAAGTAATACAAAATAAAGTATTATCTTAAAACAAAAGTATTGATTTTCTGAAAACCCACTGGAAAAAATGAAATAAGAGAAATTTGGCTTACAGCTTCCCCAGCCTCACTGCTAACACAGTGCTCCAAGAGCTCTGAAAGGAAAGAAGTGATTGATTACAGACTTGATGGATGAGCCCCTCAATTTATTTCTTAAGAGAAAAAAGCTCCTCATCTTACAGCTAGAGCCACAAGAATTGCTCAAATCCGATTGACTAGATGAATTCTTTATTGAAATGACAATGAATGTAATTACGTTGTTAAGATTGTCAACTTATTTTTTTTTAAACTCCTTTGGCAATCCAGACACACTGACATTAGAAACAAAGAAAATGAACAGTTTTATAAACAATGTCCCTTAAAATTCTCAAAACGCAACATCATTGAATCGCTATTTGGTGTGATTACTCAATAATAAAAAACTGATTTTTGAGACTATAAGGTTGTGTAAGAACAAATGTACCTTTGGTACTCATAGATTTAAAATAAGGGAAAACATTTCAATTGTTTAGAGGGTTTTTCCCCTATTTTCAACATTCCCTATTTGTATGAAAAAAGGCATAGTTAAATCTGGTTAGCTAATTTCATATGCAAACACTAGAAGGGATGAGGTTTACCATTATGGCCTATTCTGACATACATGGCAATAATGGAATTTTAATTAGAATTAAGACTTTGTAAAAGAATAGTTAATATATACTATGAATGGTATTGAACAAAAGAACTACTATTTTATAAAATCTTCCCTGTTTTCATTCTTTTCACTTTTATTTTGAAGACTAAAACAGAAATGGAAAAATAGCTTGGAGATTACAAATTATTCCTTTTATTTGAAGACATCGATCAGTCTTTCATGCTTGATATACGCTTTTTCGGAATGTAAACCTATAGGATATGTTGACCACACAGTTTAAGAACATTCTCTGATGAAAAAACCAATGTAAGGATACTCTTTTTTCATTTTTTTTGACACAAATTCAGATTCCACATTTAAATTATGCCCTTGATTTCTACGTCTTGATTTGGTACATACGTTTAGTACTTAAAATGTAATTGTTTATGACCAGATTCTGGGCTTCATTTATCCTGTGAGTGATTTCTAAGCTTGGAACGTAGACACTCTCAATATATTTTAAATAGCAAAAGCTTATTTTCAGAGAAAAAAAGTAAAGGAAATGCTGTTTTATGGAATGAAAGGAAGTATAAACTAGCAATTTCACATTTAAAATTTAGGTTTTTGCTACAACTTTTAGCGCTTCAAATCTTTGAAAAAAATCAGTTAAAAAACTTTAAATCTAAAATTTTCCTCTATGTAATCTTCACATTAAACATCAAAAGCTGGATGCAATGCTGCTTTACCTCCTTTTTGCATGTCATAGAAAGTTGAGGAACTGACTTCAGTTTCCTTTCCTTAACATCTATGCTGATGGTCATAATCTTTACTCATGTTTTTCCTCTTTGATTGGTCAGAAATTAATCTATATTATAAAATTTCAAAATCTGTTTTTTAGGACAGATTTTGCTAATTTACATTTTTATGAGAACTATGATTTAAATTTGTTCTTGACCCATTCTATGAAAGATATGTAACTTATATTGTAATCTAATAAAATAAATGTTCATCAGCTGTTTGACTCAGTAGTATATTTACCTGTTGAGGAATTCAGCATCTGAATATAAACCTCTTGGCCCCTAAAGTGCATCAAAACCCAGGGCTGGGCTTGAACCCAGCCCGGGGATCCCCTCTGCTCTTTCTCACACATCACATGTAACATGCGTCAGGGAGGCCTCTGTGGGCAAAGGTAGGTTTGTTTTCTCTCTTGGACGCCCTGGGTTGCTCTAGTGTTGTCTCTGAGCTCTTCTATTTTATTGATATTCAAGGGGAAAGAGCAGTGGATCGGAAGTCGAGTGACCTGGTTTCTTCCCTTATCTGCCACCTCTACTACCAGGACTTTCTCTCTGCCTAAATGTCTGTACTTTTGAAATGGGAGTGTTAGGCTCTAAAGGCATTTTCCAGATTGAAACTGCAATGTCTATGGCTTATAAGACAGGAGTCTTACCTGTGACTCTCCTTGCCATCTTGGAAAATAAGAAGAGTCTTGCAAGCTGCTATGGAGTTCTGACAGGCTAGACCTGAAGATTAATCTTTTGGATGATCCTAATGATTACAGTGCCTGTAGCCTAACTAAGTAGTCAGCTTGTAAGGTGACAAATTCTATGATAAACTTCAATTGTGATGAATATCTATGATTCAAAGAATATCGTTCCAGTTTCCTTGAAAGATTGGAACCTTCTCTAATTGCTTTATTAATTTAATTTAGTCCTATTACTTCATCTAATGATTGACTCAAACTTGCTTTAAAATAGTGCTAATTGAAAGTTTATAAAAATGTATTCTTCATTTAAGTTCTCTGAGAAAGCAAAACTCACTCCTACATCTAATTTCCTTAAATTACATTTGACATCCTAATAATGAATGATCTTATCTTAAATGTCAATTTTTGAAATATCACTTCAGTAATATTACGGAGGATGAAAAATAAGACAGCCTGAATGTAGTCAGAGTGATCATACAGCAGATAATTTCTATTATACAGGAGAGAAGAATTAGAGCTTTGAAAGAAGGCAGTGATGACTGGCTTGACAAGAAAGGGGATATGTGGAAAAGTCACAGTAGAATGACCAAATTGGATCTAATGTGAGAGAAGCATGACATCTGCAAAGACTTTCTGATACTGGCCTTGGAAGATTGCATGGATTCTGGTGTCTCAAACAGAGATATAAGATAAGAAGTATATATTTTGACTTAAAAGTATACACTTAGAAGATTTGATATATGCTGGTGCCTAAATGAATGTTTCATAAAAGGGAAGTTAGTGGTTATTAGTACTTTTATCTTATTACTAGGAAATGAAATGCAGATACAGAAACACACATGAAACAAATATATAGCCCAATGAGATATTTTAAGGTGGATACCCTTGTAACTGCCACTCAAATCAATAAATAGAACTTTTCCAGTGCCCCACGGTCCTCTCCATGATCCTTATGCCAGTTCTAATCTCCTTCCTGCCCTGAAATGGGATCACTATCCTATCTAGTGACCACATTCTTGCACTTCTTTCTAATGTTATATTCAAGTGAGAATCCCTCAATAACAGAATTTAGAAACTAAAACTTTGCTGTCTTTTAGGTCTTTCATAGTCTGTTGAAGAACGCTGGGTGTTTGATCTGTAGATTGAGTCATGATCTGGCTTTTGGAGTCTGTAAGACCAGTGTCTGCTTGTCTCTTTTCTGTAATGTTATCAGTGGTGACCTGTAATGCATAGATCCACTAACTCATTCCGGGTTGCAGAAGAAGTCATACTCCAATTCTATCATTTCTATTTAATTTATTAATTTAATACTTCTCTAAAGAGACACTGTTTGGTTACCCAACAGAAAATTCAAACTGGAAAGGTATGATGAATGTTTTAGTCTGCCCTTTTATGTACCCATTTTCAAGATAATTAATTGGTTCCCTATCACCCTTCAGTTTTAACCAAATAGTTTCTAAATCTATTGTGAATAAGTGACTCTTCCATCTTCGGCCAGTAAGAGCTGCTTCAAGTTGCTCTTAGATCACTTTTTGACAGGACCGCCCTGGTCTTCGAAGGCTTCCTTGCTGTCTGATATGGAGACATTTTACTCTCATTTTGTATACTTCTTGCTCGAGGCCTGGAATCAGCCATTTCTCCAGGAAGTCCGAGTTTCTTTGAGTGATAAATGATAATTTAAGACTGCAATCTAGGAATTAGGAATGCTCATAGTAAGCAGATTGCACTTGTAACAAGTAGTCAGCAAAATACAGTAGAAATGAGTATCCCAATAGCATGAGTTCATATAGGTATTTCTAATTCAAATGCAGGTCTATAGGTTTTTTAAATTTAACTCTTCTGTATTACACCTATATTTCCTTTCTTCCACTGTAAAAATCTTTATTCTCAATATCACAAGCAGTGATAGAGATAGAATAACTCATAATTACTCATTTGCTTAATACATTAGAATACAATAATCTGAGAATAACAATACTAATAAATAGTACTACCTCTAATATAATTAATGAGCATAGTTAAAAGTATTTTTTCATAAAAACCCTCCTTATTTATTCCACGATTTAACAATATGCGAGCACATAGTTGTTCAATACTATCTTCATTTTAACCTTTAGTCTTACTTAGACCTTCAAATATCTATAGATTTAATGCTGGCCACCAGTTCTTACAGTGACATTTTATAGCCATTTTAGTAGTCTGAAGTTCGTTCTCTAGTAAATTCCTCAGGAAGAGCTTATGGGAACAATATATCCTGAGTTGTTACATGTGATAATAGTTTGGACTTTTTTATGTGTGTGTGAGGAAGATTCACCCTGAGCTAACATCAGCTGCCAATCTTCCTCTTATCTTTTTTTTTTTTTTTTGCTTGAGGGAGATTAGCCCTGAGCTAACATCTGTGCCAATCTTCCTCTATTTTTTGTATGTGGAGTGACTCTACAGCATGGCTGACAAGTGGAGTAGGTCTGTGCCTGGGATCCGAACCTGAGAAGCTGGGCTGCCAAAGCAGAGTGCACGGAACTTTAACCACTCCGCCACAGGGTCAGCCTCGTAGTTTGGACTTTCATAGTTGAAATCAGTTTTACTGGGTATAAACCCCTCATTTCTTTTTCCTTGCGTATCTTAAATACGTTACTCTATTTTCTTTTGGGTTAAAATATTGCTGTCAAAAAGACTGTTGATGAACTAACTTTTTCCCTGTAAAGGCCAATTTCTTTTTTGTGACTAATGTTAAAAAGCATTTTCTTTTTCTTTTTTCTTCAAAGCCCAGTATTTCTTGTCACTGATAATTTTGAGGCTGTACTCTAATGTATGTGGTATGATTTTTGAATATGCAATTTTAACATCTCTTTATATAAGGAAGTTTTCCTGAATTGAAATTTTTAGTATTTCTTTTTCTTTTTCTCTTACTCTTCCTCCTTCCTTTGGGCTACTATTAATGTTTGCTGGACCTTCTTTCTTGGGCTTCCTTTGCCTATCTTCAATATTTGTCACCTTCTATTTTTTTAACCTCTTCTTTCATTTACTTCTAGTTTTTAAAATTTTTCATTTTTTTACCTTCTATTTTTCCTAAGATGTTACCTGTTGTGTTTATTTTTGCTTGTGTTTCTCTAATTCATTCTTTGTTTATGAAAGGATGGATTCTTTCACTTCTATTTTTTTCCTGAGTTCTCTCAAATACGCTTAAGTTTTTCTGTCATATTTTTTTTAATGTTGTTTTTTCATGTTGCAAGTAATTTTTAATAAACTTTAGCTTGTTTTGAGCTATGATGGTGTAGTTTATCTATACTGTATTTTTTTGACATGCTTTCGTGTAAGGACTTTATATGGAATTTTACCTCAATACATTTTGTTTCCTTTTTTGATGTGAAATTATTTTTTTCTGAACTTTTAGTAGAGGTCTGGTTCTGGAAGTTTCCCTAATCTTCTCTCAATTTCTTTTTCCCCTATTTTCATCTAACAACAAAACTATAGAAGCTTGTTTTCTAAGATATCCTGGTTTTGTTTCCCTCTTTACTTTTCTCTGACACTTCTCTTTCCTTCCTCTCTGTTGTAATTGTCCTGCTCAATTTTGACTCCACTCCAGGCAACTTCGCAGCCTGGGAGGCCTCACTGGTCACTTTTAAGATTTCCCAGGGGCTATACTCCTCCAGCCTTTTCAGATTATCTTCCTGTGGACCCCTCAATTCATCTCATATTGGATTTGGCAAAAACATGATCAGTTTCAGCTGCTGCTTTCAAACTGCATGACAGTTGTTTCAGCATGTTGCACATTTTTAGGTTCTTCTTTTCTTCCTTCTGTCAGTCACCTCGTTGCTTTCCTCTGATCCTCATGCATAGATGCTGATATAGTGTGGATTTTGTGGTTATTGGTGGCTGGTCCTTGACCAATTATAATTTGATGTTTATAGAGTACCTTGCCACCTTGATTTGCTGTAAATGTTGCTTATGAGTTTTTGGATATACTATCTAGCTGTTTGGTGTGTTTTACTATCTAGTTGCTCTCTTTTTTATTTTTTTTTAAGATTGGCACCTGGGCTAACAACTGCTGCCAATCTTCCTTCCCACCCCCCCCCCTTTCTTTTAAGGATTGGCACCTGGGCTAACAACTGCTGCCAATCCTCTTCCCTTCTTTTCTTTCTGCTTTGTTTTCCAAACCCCGCTGGTACATAGTTGTGTATCTTAGTTGCAGGTCCTTCTAGTTGTGGGATGTGGGACACTGCCTCAACGTGGCCTGACGAACGGTGCCATGTCCGCTCCCAGGATCCGAACCCTGGGCTGCCACAGCGGAGCGTATGAACTTAACCACTTGGCCACGGAGCTGGCCCCTAGTTGCTCTATATTTATGTGAATAAAAAATTATACTGCCATAGCCACCCTTTCACAATCTCCCTTTCCCCTTCCCTTATTTTTGATGACACAGCATAGTGGTTAAGAGCGCTGACTCTGGAACCAGACTACCTGGGTGCAAATCCCAACTCCACTACTTATGGGCAATGTTACCTTGGCACACTGTACCAAGTACGTGAACTCTAAAAGTGTGATAATAGTACAATTTATCTCGAAGGATCCTTATGGGATTAAATAAATCAATTTTTTTATTGCCCTTATAATTATACCTGGTACATGATGATTGCAATGTATGTGTTTGTTAAATAAATTTTAGTTTTAATATATATTAATCATTTAAAAATTCAATTACTGTATCACTCAAAAACACAGAAAAATAGCATCACTGCCATTCCTTTATTACCTTACTAAAAATTATAGTTCATATTCTAATTGATTCCCCTTTCATTGGCCTGTTAAAGAATAGGATAGTTATTTTAGGATATATTGGGATGATTCTTTGATACTGACCATTTGTTAAGAAAATAATAATAATAAGAAGAAGAACAGCAATATCAGAGGGCTATTATGAGTTAATAAATAATATGATTATTATTAATAATGGTTATAATAATAAGCAAAGGTTAAATAATTATGAAGAACTAGGAAGAGACATAATTATTCTATAAGAGCTCATAGAAAACTATCAAAGTGACGTTTGGAAAAAAAAGATATAAAATATCTTTAAAAAGAGACAAGCTTTATAATCACATGAATTTCAAGGAAAGAAAACAAGCCAATTCCTTTAACAAGAACCATAAACGCCTTGTTAGAGAAAAGCATGGTGAATCAATCAGAGTTAGTGTACTGGCTAATATGTTGTCTTTTGATTGGTTTCTCCATTACGGGCCTATCAAGGTTAATTTCGTGTGTGTTTCGACTTACCGCAGGTTATTGGTTTGTCTCCTCATCCACAGCAGAGTTCAAAATGAGCACAGCTTCCCCACAGAGCAAGTGCTATGAGCAATGTACCAGATCATCTGCTTCAAGGTCTTCTTTCTACTACCAGGTGTGTTGCTCAACATGAGGCCAAGAGTGCAGACTATTTGCACTGAGAAAAGACAGCAGAGAAGCCTGAAATATGAGCGTGTGGTATGACTATCAGTCAGCTCTCACTGTGGTTGCATCCAGTTCTCTTCTGCATGATTTACCTTCTTCAAACTCAGAAGAAAAGGGTCATTTTCTTTTTCTCTACTTTAAATCCCGTCACCTCATTACATTTTCTAAATGCCAAATTTACAATAGGGCCAAGATAAGCCTGCTAAACTTATGTGGCTTAGAATTCCAGAACATGTGCCACAGTACAGACCTTTAAAGAATAATTAGTGTATGCGAAACAGAGTGATGAAAATTGGCAAATAATTCCAATTCACAACCTCGCTTATTTTAAATACTTGTTTTGAATTTGCCATGAAGTTCAGAGGAATGGGACATTCTAGCACCAGGCCATGTCCACAAAATCTAACGTTACATTTTCACAATCAACCTACTGCCAAAGTGTTGTACAATTGTGTGCTTTTGACAGATAATGTTGATGAATTTGTGGCCTGAGCTTTGCCAACGTGAGACTTACACATTTGAGCAAACATTGAAAAATTGAATTGATTATTTGCCAGATGTCAAAATATTTTGTCACATCAATATTTTGAACATTTTTTAGATGTGTTGAACACTTTATATTTCATCATCATTGGTTGATTTTGGTCACATTTTGCATGTGACCTAATCAAATAAGGTGCAATGGACTCATAAGCATTCCTTATTGTCACTGTCATTTCTTATTGTCTTATTATATACTGTAAAGCCAGCCTAATTAAATTTTATGTCCCTCATTAACAGCGTTTGTGACCACTTCTCAGTTTCTGGTTAGAAAATTAAGTAAGAACATTTGATGCTAATATTGCCAATTGATTTTTTGAAATGTTCTCATTCTAGAAAACATAGCATACATATTATTTTTCTTGTTATTTAATGCCCATTGTTTGAATTAAAACTACCCTTTGCTCTTCCTATTGAGCACCAGGAAGTGAATAATACTTTTATTGTTTTCTATTGAAGGTAATTATTAAATCGGCTTCCTAGCTTTCTCTTCTTATAATGAATTCTCAAAAGATTGATTGTCATATAGACTTGAAAACACGCCTTAGCATGAAATATAGAATATGTCATAAAATTATTCACTAACAGAATATCTGTGTGGGTATATATATCTGTTTATACACACAAATGCTGTATAACATACATACTCACACACAATTTTAAAGGGGAAATAATTAAATCTTTCATTGCAAATTGTAATTTATATGATTATAAATAATAATAAACCAAAAAGGTACTTTGGACTTAAGATATTAGGTAATCAACCAAATTTCTTTTGTGCAGCAAAATAATTGTAGGAATATTTTAGTATAAAGCTGAGGCGTGATTAATGGAGAGTCGGGGGATAGGGAGTTGGTTCAATATAATTTATTAGAGAGTTTTGAAATGGTCAGACAAAAATTCCATACTACTTGTAGGTAACATTTTGAAGGAAGTAAAGATTTTTGTAATTTTCCAACACCAGCGTTCACTTACCACTGTCCCTACCCCTTTTGGTATATGTTTTAAAAGGTATTATTTTTCGTTGATAATTTATTTTCTCTGGGCAACTGCCCCAGACCTCATTTATCTGGACCTACCCTTCCTGTTGCAGGACAGAGGTAGAATCTTCTTAGGCAATAATCCAATAAATGAGAATTCAATACCAATTCACCCCTTCCAGCTTACTTACCTGGACACTAAGATGACCACTTAATCATCATTCAAAGCTTATTATCATATTTGGTTTTCTCCTCATTGAAATGACATATACTATAGTAACCGGGGACAGCATTAAGTCAACATGTAAGTTTTTAAATATGTCCACAAATTTTTTGACACTCCTCCCTTCAAAAGATTCTCTGCACTTGGAGTG